CATAAAAATTTTTTCATATTGGTGCTTTTACGGCAATCGTGTGATCTCAGCTTTACGTTTTGGTGCGATCGAGTGATTTCAATACGACTCAATAAAGGTTTGGTTGCTTTATCTCGGGTTCTCTGTTAAAATATGGACACATACCAGTACCAGTTTGCATTAACATTTCGAGTTTTGGAAATGAAACGTTTTGGTGTGGAGCTCCACAATTTTTTCTACATTCATTTGAAAAAGACGTTTTTGGGTAGGAAATGACGTTTTTTCATACCAAGAGTGACGTTTTCTCATGACGATGACCTGGCAACACTGCTTGTGAGCCACCCCTAAATAATGCTGAGCGCTCTCTGAGCACATGTGTGTTTCACATACGAAGAGCGCCAGCTGAGCAATGCACACAGTCCCACTTATTGAATCGTTTGAATCCTAGAGTATTTAGATGCATTTCTGCATCAAAAAGAACATTTTGTCGCTTACGTTTTTTGGCCGTTAGGGCTCGATATGTACGTAATGTATATTAAAATGTCATTTCGTCAGAGCACATTTAAAATTCATTGTAAACTGGTCGTTAATGTAAAAATCATTTTATACATACACTTGTGATCAGCAGATTAAGTCATCAATATTTTGATCGATTTTGGCTGTTTCTCTTTCGTTTATTTAATGTTTATTATTTTTCCGTAAAAGCCAAGCTCATTAACATACAAAATATAAATCCACAAAAATTGTGCGAAAATTATAAACAATCCGCAATTTTTCAGCTAGATTTTCAACTTTTTACTCAGAGTTTCTAGAATTTTTTTTGAGTTTGCAGTTTGACAGCCCATTAGATTTCAGGGCAATAATGTGCAAGTTTTAAGGGACTAAATAATCGCGTTGATTTTTAATAATTTTTTTTTTCTTTGTAGGTATTTGGTTAGGTGCTCGGTTGTCAAAAATGTTAAATTACGTTCTGCTAAGAAGGAGCATAGCAATAGGTCCATTCAATATCAAAAAATTGTTACGAACTGTTGCTAGTACTTGCAAGTTTTTACCAGGAATGCATTCTGTTACAACTAGAACGTTGTTGAGTTGCAATTTATAAAAGTTTATTTGAAAGTTAAAGGAAACAGATTACAATTATGAAATTAGAAAATAATTAAGGTTAAGCAGGCACACGTATATCGCTGTCGTCACTTCAGTGTCCGGGTTGCAAGCCACTCTCTCACATCTCACCGAGTGCAGGGTTGCACTCTCAATACACATTTTGCTACTTATTTGCGGGATGCCAACACCTCCCCTTTTGAGTTGGTTAGCTTTAGCTTAACCCGGAACAAACCTCTCCACGGGTCGGCGTAAGCGCTGGGGTCGCTTTGTTGGTGTTGCTCTGTTATCTTCGTATTGCGCTAGAGGGTTATCATTCGATAGTGTATCTCTGTTATCTTCGAATTGCGTTGCAGGTGCATTATTAGGTTGTAAAGTTGCACGAGATGATCCACTCCCACAATGTACAGATGCATTTTTCTCATTTTCGTACAGTCCGAAAGCGTCGATTAGCATTTTAGAAGAATTCATCTCCTTTTTCGTAGATATAAATAGATAGAAAATAAATAAATAAATAAATAAATAAAATCGTTGGCGCAATTGATTAGCATGTGCTCTTATGAGCTTCTGATTGTCAAGTAATACGTTATACATCACCTTGCCAACACGTGCGACTACCTTTCTAGGCATCCATTGAAAGCTGTTGTTGTTTGTGTGAACGCAGGCATAAACAGTATCTTCACTACAGAACGACTTTTGTTTAGCCCCATGCTTCCGGTCGAACTGCTGCTTCATACGATGTTTTTGGTGGACTAACTCGAACTGAGTATCACGCAATGCTTTCGGCTTTAGCAGATCTAAGTTGGTGCGGATATTTCTGCCTAGCAAAACTTCAGCTGGTGACTTGTTGTCAGTGTTGTTTTTGTTTGGCGAGGCTCGATAGCATTGCAAGAAAACTTGTAAGTTTCGGTTCGTCGTTCCCTTCCTTCTAGCTTTTTGAGAGCTCGTTTGAAAGTATCGACGAATCTCGCGATAATGTGTAATGCCGTTCTCCAATAGAAACTGTTGAAAATGTGCACTAGTAAACTGCGTTCCATTATCGGATACTATGGTTGACGGGAGACCCAAGCGCGAAAAAATTTCATTGAGGATGTCAACTGTTTGCTGTGTCGTTATTGACTTAGTTGGAATTACTTCTGGCCACTTTGAGTAGGCATCAATAATTACCATGAAGTAATAACCGTTGACTGGTCCGGCATAGTCAATATGTAAACGCTGCCATGGCGCTGAGGGCTTTGGCCAGGGTAATCGTCGGCATAGGAGACAATCGAGACTCCCTCTGGTGGTTGAGGGAGCTTTGAAATATAAAAGTTAAACAGTAGCGGGGAAAGGACACCACCCTGAGGAACCCCCTGTTTTATTTTTCGCTGCTTACTCGTTTTGTCTCTAAACATTACCGACGAATGTCGACCACTCAAATAATTTGCCGACCACCGTTTGAGCCTCTGTGGGAGATAGGAGGCCTCTATATCTTCTAGTAGCGTGGAATGGCAGACGGTGTCAAACATCTTTGACAAGTCCAACGCTTCTAGAATCGTTCTCTCACAGGGACGGTTACGGTTAAGGCCACGAGTTATCTGAGTGTTTATGGCGTTAAGTGCTGTTGTTGTACTGTGCACTTTACGGAAACCATGCTGATGCTTCGCTGGGGTCAGGTGATTTGTGAAGTACGGGAGTAGCAAGGCCTCGAGTGTCTTCGCTACCGGGGAAAGGAGTGTAATCGGACGATACGAATCTCCTTTGTTGGCAGGTTTCCCCGGTTTGAGCAGTGGGACCACTCTCCCCACCTTCCAGATGTTTGGGATGATGAGAGTGGCCATTGACAAATTGAGGATCTCCGTTAGGTACGCTACCCCCGTAGGACCCAAATTTTTCAGCATCAGCATGCATATTCCGTCGGGACCCATGGCTTTGGAGGCTTTCGCCTTCCCGATGGCCACCTGAACTTCACCGCAAGTGAAAGCAAGGGGGGCACAAGTTGTTGGCAGTTTGTGCAGCCTTCTGGTCACTCGACGCTTGGCTTTGTCCACCGGAGGATGCAGTATGAACTGCCGGCTAAAATAGCTCGCGCATCGCTCCGGGTCCGACGAAGCATGGCCGCCGAAGGAAATTTCGACTCTGTCGTCGTGCTTCGTCGGATTAGACAATGACCTCACGGTTGACCAAAGCTTGCTCACACCAGAGGTGAAGTTACAAGTCTTCAGATGCTCCTCCCACTTCTTCCGCTTATGTACGTTTACAAGTTGCCGAATCTCCGCGTTGAGATCCCTGATACGGGGATCTCCGGGATCGGCCTGACAAAGGCTATCACGCTCATTGGCTAGAACAGCCGCTTCGGCAGGGAAGTTTGGACGTGGGTCCGATATACACCCTGCCGGTATGAAGCGAGCTGCAGCAGCAGTGATAGCTCTGCGGAACTTACGTTCACCGAGATGGACGTCGGTTGGTGTGGGGAGCGATGCGAAGGTGTTTTCGGTAAACTCCGCGTTACCTTTCCAATCAGCTTTAGAAAAGTTGATATAGGTCCGGTGTTTGGCGGAGGCAAAGTCGGTTGGTTTATCAATCGAGATGACTATGGGTAGATGGTCTGATGCTAGAGTCAGCATACGTCGCCACGTTATGCTGTTTATCAGACCAGCGTTGAATATTGTGATGTCTGGCGAGCTACTGCAGTTACCCATAATCCTTGTGGGTGCGTCGTCGTTCATTGTGCAGAATGTCGAATCGTCTATCTGCTCAGCCAAGTCTGTTCCCCTACGATCGTTTTACAGGCTTGAGTGCCAAAGATCGTGGTGCGCATTAAAGTTACCTACTACCATACGGTTTTCACCTCTTTCACGGTGTGGTGCGTGATGAACGCTAAGCCACCACCATTATCTCGCTCGCGATCTCGACGGTGCACGTTGCACCCGGCGCAATTCAACAAAGTTGAATTGCTGTGCAACTTCGTCTCTTGGACCGCAGCTATTAATATACCATGCCGACACATGAAGACGGTTATCTCCTCAATCTTGCTCTGTAGCCCGTTACAGTTGAATTGAAGGAGCTTCATGTGGTTCGGGAGACGTGTCGTGATGTGGGGTGTGAGTGAGGTGTATGCTCTTGCCGCCGTTGGCTGTGTGTGCTGCTGAGGTGATTGCCGCCCTGTGGTGGTGCTGGGGGGCGTCGCAATTGGAGTCTGCGACCGAGCAGCGCAACACGGGCCCTCGAAGTTCCCCGTCCAATCTCGCGTGGTATGCAGACCTGAGCATGCCCTAAAGTGGCACCAGCCAAGTCAGGTGTTGCACTTGACTGATGTCACATTACGGAATATCCTGGTCTGGCATACCATGCAGATTGTAGGGGGAACCAGGAGTTGTTGGCGGCGGCGTGTGGGTGGTGGTGCGGTTGTGTGTGTTATGTGGTCTGTAGTGGCTGTGGTACGGTCTGTGGTGTTATTTTGTCGTTGTGTTGTGGTGACTGTGTGGCTGCTGTGTGAGTGTGTGGGGCTGCACGGGCGGACTATGGTTAGCCGTGGAGGCTGCTGTATTTGAGCAACAGGGGGCCACGTACGACGTGGTCCACTGTCTGTGTGTCCGTAGTCCCGAGCAGACCCTGAGGTGACACCACCCCTCGCAGGCATTACACTTGACTGAGGTGGAGTTATGGTGTAATCGTCTTCGGCATACACAGCAGGTGTATGTTTCTGGCCCAGGGTTTGACTCGATGCCAGCCCTGAGTAGGAGAATGCGTAGTGAATGTAGCCCTATGGACGGACAACTTCTAAGATACTTCGCCGACCTAACCGGGGTTAGATCGCCGAAACAACAGCCCTTGGTCGGGTGAAACCCGAGTCATTCCGGTACGTAGAACCGGCTGTCGTGGCACAGCCCATCTTTGAAGTCGGTTTGCTTGATGTGCCGAAATTCCAGTTTTCTTACCGAAAATGGCGAGCAAAGGCTTGTGGTCGGTATGAAGCTTAAATGCTCTGCCGAAAATCATCTTATGAAATTTAGTGACCGCAAAAACTAATGCGAGGCGTTCTTTTTCAATTTGGCTGTATGCCTTTTCAGAAGGAGTAAGCGAGCGCGATGCGTGGCTGACAGCTTTGACTGAGCCATCGGGAAACTCATGCATAATGCAGGCCCCTAGTCCGTAGTTTGACGCATCCGCTGCAACGATGATTTTCTTTTGCGGATCGTAATGCGTCAAAAGCAGATTTGAGGAAAGTATTTCTTTAAGACTGTTAAAGCATTTTCGATGAGTTTGAGTCCATTGCCACTTCGTGTTCGCGTTCAAAAGTTCATCAAATGGACCTCTGAGCTGACGCATTTTGTTTATGAACTTCCCGTAAAAGTCTATGGCGCCAAGAAACGAACGCAGTTCAGCGATATTGTTTGGCTCTGGCATGCCATTGATTGCTGAGACACGCTCCGTATCTGGCTGAAGTCCGTATTGACTAATTATATAGCCCAGATACCTAACTTCAGTCACTGAAAACCTGCATTTGGCGAATTTGAGTTTGAACCCATAATCTTGACTTCGTCGCAAAACTTCGTGCACGTTCCTGTCATGTTCGCTTTGATCTCTTCCAGATACGAAAATATCATCGATATACGCTGCGGCGTATTCCAGACCAATAAGCATTTTGTCCATGACTTGTTGAAAGATGGCAGGAAAAGTTTTCACGCCAAAGATCATGCGATTGTAGCGGAATAAACCCAAGTGCGTATTGATTCTAAGAAGTTCCTTTGAGCTTTCATCTACCTCAATTTGGAGGAAAGCATCAGAAAGGTCTATATGGCTAAAATATTTAGCGTTCGCTAGCTTTGCAAAAATGTCTTCAGGTAGAGGGAGCGGGTACTGATGTGTTTCGAGAGCGGTGTTTAAACCTGTTGAGAAGTCGGCGTAAATGCGTATGCTGCCATTGGACTTCTTTGTAACGACAATCGGCGCAGCCCACTCGGAGTAGTTGACTGGTGAGATGACATTAACGTCTTGAAGTCTTTGCAATTCTTCCTCAACGAGATGCTGTATAGCATAGGCTACCGGTCGCTTTGGTCGAAAAATTGGTTTATGGTCGGGTTTAACTACCAAGTGCGCTTTTGTTTTATTGCACAGGCCCAGTTTTTCGTCGAACACATCTGGAAAAGATTGCTTAAGAAGTGAAATGTTTTGTGATTGCATATTAGGAGTTACACTTCCCCGATTTTCCA